AAGAAAGTCAAGGGTGACCAAACTCCGGGCTGGCACTAGGGTATGGAAACCCTGACCAGGAGTCTGGGTCAAATAGGTTCCGATAGGCTCCCTGGCTGGGGACCTCGGGATGTTCGTACCCGATGGTTAGGGACACTGAATGATATGGCTGGGTGTCGTAAGCAGTAGCTTCTTGCATCTTCTGAATTTCTTTGCAAACTTAGACCACTGAACTTCTCCATTTTATGTTCGAGTCTGCCTTCGACTTTTCCGTCTTCTATTATTCGTCCAAATGGGCAGCCGAAAGATAGCAGCCAAAACCGGTGCACCATAGTTCATGGTTAATGATTGTTCAAACTGAAGTGTCGCATGTTGAAGCGTCAAGTTGAGGTGCATCCCTTGAAGAATAGTCTCAGTAAAATTCGAAAGAAAAGCTGCAACAGTCCTTCCAGGGTTAACGTATTAAAATGTATCGGAGATCATCTCAGTTGGTTGTCATATGGTCAAAGGTTGCGTCTGAAGTTATCTGGAGGGGACGGCACGAGAGGATAATACATCCGTAATTCCTACTCATCATCTCGCAGATAGTCACATAAAAGTATAAGCAGATTGTAACTTGCTGTGAACCCCATAGTACTTCTCAAGATCACTTACTGAAACTCCCCGTGTCGCTAAGGATGGTTGTTTCGAATTTCCACGTCATCGGTTCCTGCCCCACGGCCTCGTTTACGATTTCTGGGCATTGCCAAAGAATCGTTTCAACGATCAGGGCGTAAAATATTTACCGATTGCATTGTCTTTCGTTGATCTTTCCAACTGCTTGTAGTCCGAGGGCTGAAGCTAGTCGTTCTAGGCTCTCTGTTGACAGAGCGCCATTCAAGCTGCAAAATTACAGATTTAAACCACAACTGTGCTTGGAATTTGTACCCGTATAGTACATATAGTAAAGGCGATATGTTCCTACCGAAGATAAAATCTTTCTAATAAAATAAGGTGCTACCGAAAGTATGTTCATTTATTATTTCAAACACTACGGGTATCAATCATTCCACTGGAATCAGTCAAAAGGCATGCTCAACCTTTCACTGTTCTTTTTTATTACGCACCAGTGTGTGATGAACAGCAGACGGGGTAAGCCACATAGTCATGAGGATCTGCTGTTCTGTGATGGTAACAGTTAACCTAAGTCCCGGGACTTGGAGTGGCGAACCACATAAGACCCCGCTGCGTTGGGCGTGGTATTGAACTGGACGGCAGCAAAGCTGTCTACCACCTTAGCTATGTTTTCCGATATTTTCTAAACATCTTTCCCAAGAGCGAACAATCGGGGAGAGAAAATTGTGGGCTCTTGACGGTGTTCCTTGTAGGAAGGGAATGCTGTATATTATTTTCCTGACCATCCTTCAGAATTCATCTTCGTGCACATTCCTCAGACGATTCAATCAGCTGTAGACCCGGGAGGCACCATAATCGAGTTTCGCTCTCATTAGAGCTAATGTGTAGCGCACATCTGCAGTCCCATCCGTTATTTAAACTTCAGACCAATCGCGCAGAAGCGTATGTTATCACTGTCGAAAAGCCCATACAGGGCCGACCAATTCACGTTTATCCAGACGTCTTCAGACATGTCCGGTCACTTCTTTTGGTCGAGCGACAATCTAGAAAAGCACAATATATTGTATTAACTCCAGTAGATACCCTCTCACCATGTCAGGTAGATGTCTGCTTCCATATATCACGGACATGAATGGGTTTTGGTGTTACATTATCACCATCTTGCGACATAGCCTCACAGATATCGGTATCTGCACTTGAGTCCTATTGCGCTTTTTTTGTCATTCATTCAGGTTGCCACTGGTGCCTCTTCCTCGAACGGACTTCCAACGGGAACACTTACGTCGACCGTTCGATCTTCACCATTCCCTGGTTGGGCTTCTTCTAACGTGGCATCCTCGTCTACTTCCACCCTTGTTCCTTCCGCGCGGTTTGATGATGCACCATCATTACCGATGGCATCTTACCACCAGGGACAACACATACCCTCCGAACTTCGTGGTACGTTCTTTTTTGTATACCTTTATTTTTGAGCGTTTTTCCCCGGTCGATGAAGTACTTGTGATTACCATGAAACACTAACCCGTGAAGTTTGTTCATCGCAGAAATTTACTTCTGAGCTAACTTCGGTCCGTTGAGTTACAGTTCTTTTGCTGGCATGTATACCTGTATTTCAGTCATTTTAATTGAAGTAGTTTAGATAGGACATTAAGATTTATAAAGTAAAACAATGATGAAGATTGAACATTCATCAATTATCAGATGATACACTTGCGGGATTTCAGGATTTATTTTTCTGATTATTTTGTCACATCTGAACATGTGCCTACTTTATAACAAATATTTGTATAGCCAAATAAATATAAATGGAATCATCTTGATGAAGGAAGTCCTTGTTTATTCCCGTACGAATTCGTGAACACTAAGGTCTGTTTTGCTGTTCTGGTGTGGTCTCAGTCCTCGAGAATTCCTTCATTTCTCACTTTTTCTCTAATTTCACAAGGCCTGTTACAGTGATTAAGCCCATCAAACCCAAATTAATCGAGATGATCACAAAGATAGTGACAAAAACGATAAATTAAGGAATTTTAACATCCGCTTTGACAATGTTGCTAGTCACCATACATCCCCAATCTTACGTCTCCGCCCAGAAAACCAAGAATCATCATCTGAAACTAATGGGATAGTGATGTTTTCATTTATTTGGTCCACTACAACCACTGTTCATCGGATTCCCTATGCTGGTTGGGCTTACGGTAGCCAGCTTGAAAGAAGCTTCGAGGTCATGAAAGAACCAGCAAAACCCATTTTGTGATATCATATTAAACGGTAGACTGTGTATCCTCACATGAACCGTCGAAACTCGTCTGCGCTGATGTTCTGCTCCTACCAGACACCAGAAATGCGGTGTATTGATGGTTCAGTTTTTTATACATTTTGTGGTAAAAGATTATGTGATGGCCGGCAAAGAGAGGAATAACTTTAGTCTCTGTTGGGTGTAACGAGGCATCTGGCAACCAGCGTATCAGACCAGAAAACGAGAGAGACCTGTTGATAAGGCTTCAGCCCATTAACGACTGAGTTTTCTCGACCTA